GCCCGCTGCCGCTCGTGCGCCTTCTCCGACGCCAGCCAGGTGTACATGTGCTGCGGGAGCGCGGGGGCAGATAGAGCCCGCTGCGGCTGCGGGCCGCCCGCCCCCGCCAAGGCCCCGCCCACACGGGCCAGGCCCCGCCCACCCAGGCCAGCCCCGCCCACCAGGACCAGGCCCCGCCTCTGAGGCAAGGCTCCACCCACTGTAGCCCAGGCTGCACCCCTTGGCTCAGGCCCAGTCCATCACACCTAGAATCTGTCCCCGCGGCAGGGATCCATCTCCATCCTAGGGCCAGGCTGTGTCACCCGGGCTTCTGCCACTTCCCTGTCTAGCTGCCTCTGTCACTTTCCCACACCACTGCACAGCCTCCGCCAATCCCTCTGACTTTTGTAGGGGACACATCCCCTCTTGCTCAAAGCCCCTTGAGGGTCCTGGTTCTTAACCTGTTCTGTGCCAGGCACCCCTCTCTAGAGCAATGCTCTTCCATGCACACAATATATGCATATCCTTACAGTGGAATACAGAAGCACCTTGAAACGGGTAAGTTGAATAGTTGAAATCCAAATCTGAGCCTTTTATTAAGGTCATATATGATTAGAGTTAGTGATTCCGAAAAAGGACGAGGATGCATGGTATTTGAACGTTCTGTGACCCAATGATGTTCCTGGGAAGCATGTGTGACTTTTCTTGGTGGCAGCCTAACATTCCCACGGGCGGACACGCTACCTTGCAGCTCCAGGTGACTGAACACGTGGACGGGGTTTCCTCCTGTCCATGTTCAGGCACCCGGACTTGCATCAGAGAGCCCCCTGTCAGGAGGCCCTGCCTCACCTCCAGCCTGGCTTCTTGACGAGGTCCCCAAGGCCTGATGTGGTGTGGCCCCTGCTGACCTAACCCTGACACTTACCCACTCCATGCACCTCCCCTGCTCCAGCTGTGCAGAGCCTTGCTCCGCTGACCCGCTGGGCTCACCTGTGCTGCTCACCTGTGCCTGCTGTACCCTCCCCTGCCAGCCCTTCCCTTCCCAGCTCTACCCAGGGACCACCTTAGTCTGATTCAGGACTCCTCGGTGAAGTCCCTCCGGCCCTGATCTCTGACCCTGGATTGTTGCTGCCTGTTGACTGGTCTCCCTCCTATCAAGGCAGAAGCCCTGGAGGGCACGCAAGAGTAGGGGCCGTGGAATCCTTTAGGGACATTGCTGCAGGCAGGGTTCTTGGTTGGGGGCGGAGGGCAGGTCCCGCCCAGGGTTGTGGCCCACTTCCTCGCCAGCCCCGTCACCACTGGGCTGCCCCCGCTGCCCCTCTCTCCACTCTAGCTGCTCCAAACCACTGAGATCACTGAGGGCAGTACTCACACCTCCTGGTTCCTGGACCACTTGCAGCCCCAGGTCAGGCCCTGCTTCTGGGATGCCCTCCTTTGGGCTTCCAGCACAGGGCTGAAGACCCCTCTGCTCCCAGCCCTGCCGGGTGTCCACCAACCCTCACCGACAGCAGGAAGTGCAGCTCGTCAGCCGTGGGGCTCTGCGTGATGAAGCTCTGCAGCATGTGGTCGAGCGCCTCTGTGGTCTTGTGGTACAGGGTCTGCATCGAGGTGTGGGCGGGTCAGGCAGCCACCAACCCTAGGTGGGATGCAGGGCCAGGGGCTACACACCCCAGGCCAGGCTGTCCAGCCCTAGAGCTCACCACCATGCCCACGAAGGGGCCCCACCATGGGGTCCCCACTTGACACACACTGAGACTGGGCAGGGAGGCCATCTGGGACCCACCCAAGGGCACAGATTTCTCAGTGGACCAGGAGAGTCCATTCACAGGGCTGGCTTCATGGGCAGGTGACTGGACCCCGGGATCAAAAGGGACCTGTGCTGGGTGTAGTGCTCTGTGGTTGCTGTCTTGAAACTCTTAGTAAGTTTTAAACAATGGCTGTGTTTTCATTTTGCACTGGGCCCGGCAAATGATGTAGCTGTTTCTGATTTCTGGTTCTCACACACCAGACCCTCAATCTTTTACTGCTTTGCTTGCCAGGCACATTCAGGGATGGTTGGGACCACAGCAATGCCCCAGTCTACCCTCCCACCTGGGGCTCCCCAAGAGCAGAGCCCTGGGCTCTGGTCATTCACTGTCTGGTGCCCTGGGGAACCCACTTCCTCTCTCTGAACTCACTCTCTTACCCGAGAACGGCATGACGCCGGCCCCATCGCCAGGGTGGAGGCAGACAGAGGATGGGAAGGGATGGGGCCCAGCCCAGCACTCCCAGCTCCCAGCACCGGTCCCCTAGGCACCAGGTCGTGCTCCCTGGGCAAGACAGCTGTGGTGTCATGGTGTCATCTGGTAACGGGGCACTCTGGACTCCTGCGGGGCTGGGGTGGGGGCAGATGGCCCCCTCCTAGAGAGCTGTGGCCGAGGTGTTGCCCTGGGCCTGGGAAACACCTCATTCTCTCACCATCCCACCCAAAGTTCTAATATGTCCGGTTCCAGCCTGGACCCAGCCTTCGGGGGCAGGTGCGGCTTCAAACCCTGACTCTCCCACCGGATAGCTTTACTTCTCTGAGCCGGTTTCCTCACCCGCTGGCTGCTGCTGGGATGGTGAGATGACATAGAGAGCACGTGGCAGTGCTCACTTAACACTGGCTGCCCTGCCCTTTGCTGCCAGGCCCTGACTGTGCCCCGGGAGCTGCACGTGCCCCCTGGTGGTGGCCACGAGCAATGGCAGGCATCTCCTTGTAGGGGAGGCTTCTATTTAACAGAACCCGGGAAGGGGTGGGTGGCCAGCCAGGGTGCTGAGAGCAACCCCAGAGCGCCTTCCTGCAGCCTTGCTGGGTGGCAGGCTGGGCTGCGGAGGCCTGCGTGGTGAGACTGAGCCTGCCCTGCAGGGAACGTGACTTGCTCCAGGTGTTGTGGGGACTTGGAGGCTGAGCTGGGTCTCTTGGACCCGTCCACGGTGGGGGAACTCATCCCTTAGAGAGAGGCCTCTCCTTTCCTCTGAGCTTCCGTTGGTTGCTGGAGAGCTCAAAGAAAAGCACAGCCTTGATGCTGCCACGTAGCAAGCCGTCCCAGGCCCTGCAGGCTGCTCAGCACGGGCCGGCTGGCCTCCCCTACTCGCTCTCAGGGTCAACAGTGAGGGCGGGAGGCCACACGTCCCACTGTTTACAGTGCGTCCCTCTGACGGGCACAGCACCCCCAGTCTCTCACTTCAGCTGCCCAGGGCTAAGTCCCACCGGCTCTCTTATCATCCCCATTATACAGGTGAGCAAACAGACAGGTGCTCAGAGCAGTTCAGAACGTGCCCAGGACTCCCCAGCCCTGGCATGCGGAGTGCTCAGGAAACCTTCCCACCCAGCCCGCCCCCTCCCAAGCCACGAACAGTGGGCAGACCTAGACACCCTGCCCCAGAGGCCCCTCTTGGCTCAGGGCCGCAGGCACACCTGTATGTTTGGTGGCTCCAGGAAGAGACAGGTGTGTCTCTCCAGGGTGTCCAGCAGCGGCAGGGCAAACACACTGCGGAGACAGGTGGAGAGGAGCCGCGATTTCCTCTCCAGGTCCACAGGTGGCCTCAGCTTACTGTTGGCAGACAGAGGGCGGTGAGCTGGGGCTGGGGGCTGAGCAGCGGTCGCTCGTGGGACTGGAGCGTCCCCTTGCGTTGCCGCCATCACTGTAGACCTCGCAGCATCTGCTTTTCACAGAGACTTATGTGCATCTGCCTCCCTGGCCTCTTGCCTGTCTCTGCAGGGCCTCACGTCGGGCATCCTGGCCACCTGAACTCCTGGCTTTAAATGGCACCTGGACGCTGATGCCCCCGACTGTGTCTCCAGCCTGGCTTCTCCCCTGAACTCTAGACTCCCGTCGCCAGCTGCCCACTGTATCTCTACTTGGTGTAACGTCGGGCATCCTGGCCACCTGAACTCCTGGCTTTAAATGGCACCTGGACGCTGATGCCCCTGACTGTGTCTCCAGCCTGGCTTCTCCCCTGAACTCTAGACTCCCGTCGCCAGCTGCCCACTGTATCTCTACTTGGTGTATAAGGGGCATCTCAGCCTTGATCCACCTCCAGGCCCGCCCCGCCACGGCCCACCCTTCCCCGTGGATGGCAGTGCTGTCCTCTGCTGCTCAGGGCAAAGACCTCGGCTCCACTCTGGATCCTTCCCATCCCTCACAGACTGCTCCAGTCCTGCAGCAGGTCTTGACAGCTCTCCTATCACGATTTATCCAGGATTTAAGTACTTCTTACCGTTGAGCAGATCACCTGTTACTTTTCTCCTGGACTGATCTAGGGGCTTCTGACTGGTCTCCCATTTCCTCCCCTGCAAGCACCCTCTACTTCCCACACCAAATCCAGACATTCCTTCCCAAATATAATCCCCCCGAGGCCCCACCTTGCTCAGCCAAGAGCCAATGTCCCTCAGCGGTCTGCACCACCTGCTGCAGGACTCCTGGGACCTCATCAGTCCTGGGCTCTCACTCATTCCACCCCAGCCACATGGGCCCCCTTGCTGGTCCTCCAGCACCCCAGCTGTGCACTAGCCTCAGGTCCTCGGCACTCACCATTCCTGCAGCCGGGGACCTGCAGGGCTCACTTTCTCACCCTTTCAGGCCTTTGCTCAAAAGTCCCCTTCTAGGGCAGCCTGACCCAGCCTCAGGCCATGTCTGAGCCTGGAAGAGCACGGGGCTACTTGTGGGGGCTCAGTCAATCGATTCTCATTGACCCAACCTGAGTCTCCCTTAGCACCGAACCTGGTGATGACTTGAGGTCCCTGTCTTGCCCCCCCATCATCCTCCTTCAGCACTTTCATCAGTTGCTGGTATGTGGTTTGCTCACTGACCCCTCTACCAAGTGTCAGCTCTCAGAGAACAGGGATGTTCCCCACTGGCTCACAGCTGGGCCTCCAGAACCCAGAATGGTGTCTGGCACGTAGTACGTGCTCAACAATTATGTGTGGAATGAGTGAATTGGAAAAACTGAGGCTTGGAGAGGTTAAGCACCTGGTGGAGGTGGGGTTTGAAGCCAGTGTGTCTGCTCTCAGGCTGGAAGCCAACATAGCTGCACCTGCGTCCTGCCCAGGGCAGTGCCAGGCTGCCTGTCTGTGCCTCTGCAGCCTGAGAGCAGATAGCTTGAACTCCCTGGACCTCCACTTCCAAGGCAGCCTCCCCTGACCAGGGCAGGGATGCCATGTATACCCTCACCCCGTCTGTAGGTGGACAGCTGAGCCAGGACCTGACACCCTGGCCTGGGAATCCTTGAGCCCCTGGACTCTAGCTTCCTGCCCAGCAGGGCCTTTACTCTTGACCTCTCCCCAGCTTGCTGTCCTGCCAGCACCAAGCCCAAGCAGAGAGGTTTGATGCTGTGGAGCGCCCTGTATGGGCTGAGCACCTACCAGAGGCTGGAGATGATGCGGATGGTCTGCTGGCGACTTGGTGTGTACAGAGCGTCCTGAGGCTCCTTCTCCATCAAAACCTGCAAGTCCCATCACTCAGGCCTGTCCCATCCCACTTCTGACACTAGGTCTCATCCCTGCCTGAAACCCTCAGTGCCTGGGCACCCTGGCCCCCAGCCACTCAGAGGGTGCCTCTGTGACCTGGCCCCTGCTTAGGGAACCGGGGCGAAGCCTCTGAAGTCAAACAGATCAGGCCCGAATCCCAGTCACCCACGTACTAGCTGCATGATCTTGTGCAAGAGCCTCGGTTACTCATAAACAACACGGTCTTGCTGCACGCGTGTTCCACGAGGCAAGGCGCGTGGAGCACAGTGTCTGGGTCCCAGCAGGAGTCAAGAAGTGGGGCTGTTATTGCTATCACTGTTGTTGTGATTGTCACTGTCGTGACTGCCCACATGTGACTGCCTGTGTGTTCCCTCCACTACCCCGGAGGTTCCGTGAAGCCGCAATCTCCAGTGACCAGTCTGGGCTGTGGGCTAGGGCAGCATGTGCAGGGTGGGCAGCACTGGCTATTCTGACCTCGGTGGCATTGCCATGAGGTGGACATACTGGCCAGCTCAGGGTTCCTATAGGAACCGAGTGAAGTGGACACGTGGATGTGCTTCCAGGTGTGAAGGCCTGGGAGGGGCTCGGACCCGCTCTAGAACCCACCCCACCCCTTCCCTAGTGGGTGGTCTGCGGGAGGGTGCCCCCCCTGCCCAGGGCCTCGCACGCACCATCAGACACTCGAGCAGCTCAGAGGTCTGGGAGAACTTGTAGCTGTGGGCACCCTCGCTCCTGCCGATGGCCCCCAGCAGCATCAGGACCGCAGTGAGGAAGCTCTGCTTCAGGGACTCATCCTAGTGTGAGTTCAGGCCCGCGACAAGGGGGACAGGGTCAGGGACAAGAGCATGGGAGTGTGCGGGGGGTAGTGAGGGAGCGCGATGAGATCACAAGGGGCAGTAGGGTCATTGCTGGAACGGGTGTGGCAGAGACCGCTGGCTGGGTCCCTGCGCGTGGGGGGCATTTTTGGGCTGTGTGTGGTTTTGCTTAAGAATGTGAATAAGTTGACAATGTCTAAACACCAGGAAGTGCCTGTAAAAGTCTGTGAAAGGTGTAGCAACTGAGCCCCAGTGCACCGGGCAGGAGCAGCACTGCGGCCCTCATAGCCCCTGGGTGGGAGGCCCCCGCTGCAGAGTTCGGAACTGGGGGCTTGTCATCACAGGGCGTGATGGGGAGTCCCCCGGGACTCGCACTACCCACCTTCCCCACCCCAAAAGTGAAATGGAGGGAGGGGATGGGGTTATCATGAAAGTCCAGAGAATTCGCCGTCGGATGATGGATGAGAAGGTGGGAGAAGGTGGGGGAGGGGT